TCAGACATTAGAAGATAACATAGTTCAAGACAACTTCAACTTTACCAAAGATTCCACAGTTAAGTGTACATCACAGAATTCTTCCATGCAATTCATAAAATAACAGAAATAACAATAAAAATGGATGTTTTATCTTTTTGGAGAGATCATGATGAAAACACTTGTTTCTGAAACAAACAAAAAATTCAATGAACACCACAGTTTTGTGTAAAGTCATACATCCAAGGCATATTTGTTAGGCACGTGTCCAAAGCATACATCGGAAATACTTCGAAGCACGATCAAAGAGACATACTGGAATTATGTACAAAAATCAAACAATGTTTGACCTTTAATTGATTGGAATTTATCATAGATGTAGACTGTAGAACAAAAATCATTTCTTTCTAAGTAGTAAAATCAAATCCTCTTTTTTAAAAAACTAATTATTGCATTGTTTACTACAAATTCATAATACCACATTTAGACTTTTAAAGGGCATAAAATTTAACCCCTTAATTTGCAACAACTGGTACCTCCACAGACTCCCCCACCCAAACACAGGAACACTTTTACAGAAGTTGTGTGATGACAAAATATAAATGGTATAACACAGAAACGTGCTTAGGTTACACAAAAATACAAATTAAAATAAATTCTTAAAGGAGAAACATTCATGTTTTACACACGTTTTATTAGAAGGTATCAATAAAAAAGTAAAAAAAAGCAAAGATGATCCCTACTCTTTCATGAAAGGGCCTACACAACTTATTAATAGGTTTGTTTGAGTTAATCAGTTGGTTAAGGAAGACTATTTCAATTATCTAAACTACAGCAGGACTGCATTATATTTTATGAAAAACACACTGAATGTTTGCCAGTTTTTTGTGAAGTTGACTTAATGTTAAAGCCTTTCAGTGAAATGACAGTCATGAAATCACTTTATAAACTACAGGAAGACAAGAACCAGAAATTATAAGCAGAATTTTCCTTTTCCTCAAAATGCACTTCTAAGTACATTCTTACAATCTTCAACATTTGGATTGGACTACTGAAAACAAATGTTACTGATAATTACATGTGCTATAATACAGTTGAGGGCACTACCTAAGTCGATAAGCAAGGGTTGGGTAGAACTTAAAATATCAGTTAGTAACTCAAGCAGATAAAGGATACAAATACTACCTAAGTCGATAAGCAAGGGTTGGTAGAACTTAAAATATTAGTAAGTAACTCAGGCAGATAAAGGATACAAATACTACCTAAGTCGATAAGCAAGGGTTGGGTAGAACTTAAAATATTAGTTAGTAACTCAGGCAGATAAAGGATACAAACACTACCTAAGTCGATAAGCAAGGGTTGGGTAGAACTTAAAATATTAGTTAGTAACTCAGGCAGATAAAGGATACAAACACTACCTAAGTCGATAAGCAAGGGTTAGGTAGAACTTAAAATATCAGCAAGTAACTCAGGCAGATAAAGGATACAAACACTACCTAAGTCGATAAGCAAGGGTTAGGTAGAACTTAAAATATCAGCAAGTAACTCAGGCAGATAAAGGATACAAACACTACTGTTTGCTAATGAGAATTAAACAAAATCTAAGTACAATTCCTAATTACTATATAAAAACAAAACACTTCCATGTTATATGTTACAAACTTTTATTTTATTGAATGAACACAATAAGTTCTAAACTGCTGAGTATTTTATTTAAACTTCTCTCACACCACATAGATAATACTTTACCAACAACAAATAGAACCATTTATGAGCAACAACTGACCACATAAACTTGATTTGGTTTAGTTTTTACAGAGCTCAATCCATAGCTGTAGCCTTAACAAATCATTTTACAAAAAGCATTTTTTTTCTTTCAAAAATACCAAAGAAAAGTTGTGCAATATAATTTCATAACTTGGATCATTATTACCACAGAGAGAACTGAGATACGACTGTTCAGAATAGGTTACTCAATAATTGATAATCAAGGTAAATGTATATGGCTAAAAGTAAATGAAGAAACATCACTAATTAATTCAAACATAAAACAAGTTATTTTGGAGTAATCAAAGGTGTGGGGGATTAATATAAAAACGTTATTTTTACTCTACAAAAGATATAAATGGATAACAACTGAATGTGAAAAACAAAACTTGATGAAGTGAAACACCTATTGTTATTTATAATCTCTAGATTGATCAATATTGCGAGGAAATATTTCTCTTTTATTTAAGAGCTAAACTTTATATTCTACTCTACAATATATAAGTGAAGCTTCATTTCTTCTTATACTAGGAAGGATCATAAAGTTAATATGAAACTTTAAGGTAAGATCAAATTTTGTTCTCTCTCAAAACTCACACCATGGATATACGTTACGTTTGTGTTAAAGCATCAATAATACTACATTACAATTTAACATTAGATTAATTCAAGATTTCTAGAAGAAAATTTAAAAAAAGAAAAACTCCGATCATGTTTTTATTTAAGTTAAATTTGAGTTCAACATTTACACACACTATTATCACCTTTGATTTAAACAAAACTCAGTGGGGAATTGATTTTCCAACTCATCACAAAACATGAACTTGAAAGTTTTTAATAAAATATGTCAAGAACATGAGATTTTGATATAATAATTATAAAAAAAAAATATATTTTATTTGATTTCCCCTTTTACCCCTGCTTACATCCTTCACATCACTCCGTACGTCAAATCTTCTAGACTTCTGTTTTGTTGGCGTTCTTCTTCAGTTTATGAAGACAGATAAGGAGTTATTGACATGTTGCAGCCAACTTGAGAACTTGTTAAAAACAAAAATAATATCCATAAAACAAAGACTGAAGCCTAAATGATCAACTCCAATAAAGATGATATAAAAATCTGAACTATATTTAACCCCAAAAAAATTTGTTTGTATAACATGATTGCTAAACATCTGAGAGAAAATAATTAATGTAGCTAATAATAATTTAATACAGGGGTCTAACTAAGAGTATATAATGTATTAATTCATCTCTTGGGTATCCTCACTATTATTTATATCTTTGGCTACAAATCCAATTATATCTTACAAGGTTTGGCTAACTTAATTAGCTCTAAATCCATATACAGTACAAACAGGGGTCTAACTAAGAGTATATAATGTATTAATTCATCTCTTGGGTATCCTCACT